AGTGTCCTGTGTTTGAGGACTGGCTGTGTGTTGGCCGCACAGCTGGGAGGGGGAGAGGGAGGAGGGCAGCTGTAGAGGGGACCGGGAGAAAAAGCCAGAAGGAAAGTTGGCAGCAGCAGTTATAGGGCCACAGAATATAGGAAAACTTTCAGTGACACAGCTGTCCTTGGAGAGTAGCAGGTGAAACCAAGCCGTGGCAACTTTTTCTCTGTACAGGTGGGAGTGGAGGCTGAGGGCTCCAGCCTGGGCTGGGGCTTGGACGTCGGCTCTGGTGACCCAGTGCCCAGTGAGGAGCTGTTAAGAGTAAGTGTGAAGGGTTAAACAGCCTAGTGTCGGGGGCAGGCTTCACGAGGATCCAGGAGGGAGGGACAACAGGGGCGGATAGCAGATGAAAGCAGATTGCCACCGTTGATAACTCTTGCGGCTGATGGTGGGCTCCTGGGACTCACTATACTTTCCCCTCTATATTTGTATATGTTTGGCATTTCCGTCTTCCATCAGTTTTAAGTGAGTCTGAGCCTTAGTTTATAGTCAGGAGCCCCACTTGGCCACTTGCCTCCTTCCCCCGGTAGCCTTCTCCAGCAGGCTCTTTCACAGCAGGTATGCCCATGACCTTCACCTCTACCACCTGGCTCTGCCCCCCACCCCCTTACCCATTACAGAGACCTGCTGGCCTCTTCTCTAGATAGCATTTCACACTTTGGCTTCCAGACCCTTCTCAAAATCCTTCCTACCCTGAGGCGGCCCCCTCCCTACCTCTCCAGACCACTCATTCTGCCTCTTTGGCACCTCTTGCTCTCCCAGCCTCTTGCCCAAGGCTGGGCCCCCACTGGTCTCTCTAGATTTCCCCCGGGAGCACCTCTCTTCTCAGCTGCATCTCGTGCCTCTGTCCCCAGGGCCCCAACCTCATCTCCATCCCTTCCTCTGAGCCCTTGTGCTGAATTCCCACCTAGAAGGCTCCACTCGGCTGCCCTTCTGCTCACTCATCATGACAGGGCTGGAAGGGTTCAGGACTCACTGGATGAGTGGAGCGGGACCCAGCTGGGACTTCCAAGCTGGTGGCATCAGCCAACCCAGCCTGAGGCTAAAGAGACTAGTACACTGCAGGGATGTTTTTAATAAGCGTTAACAATAGGCTGTTTTGGACTAACCTCTCAGGTAATCAGAAAACTAAATTAGAGCAACTCTGAGAATTCCAACAAATTATATTTTTATTATGTACATACATCTAGGGAGATAACATGATATAATGCGCTTTAAAAGACCTGGATTCACATCCCAGCTCTACTCCTAATTAGCTGTGTGTGTGAGCTCTTGGGCAAGTCACATCATGTCACTAAGCCTCAGTTTCCCCATCTTCTAAGTAGGAATACCAGTCTCTACTTGTAGAGTTGTTTTCAGAAATGGAGTGAATGGAACATATATATTTGTCCCCTCCTGCACTGTTTCTTAGCAAGGTGTCTATTTTTAGGGTCCTCCAGGTCCCCCAGGCCCACCTGGCTTACCTGGGATTCCAGGAAAACCAGGAACTGATGTTTTCATGGGACCCCCTGGATCCCCTGGAGAAGATGGACCTGCTGGTGAACCTGGTCCCCCGGTAAGCTGCCGAAGCCATTGCCCCCCCCCACTCTGCCTATGGGGCTTCCTTTAGCCAGGGGGGGTACAGACTGCAGACCCCAGCGCTAAGGCTTATGACAGGGAGCGAGGAGCTAGCTAGCGTTTGTAAACAAATTCCTCCTCGGCTGAAACATTACTAAGACTCATAAGAAGCAGCAGCCAGGCTTCCCTTGTGGCTCAGCGGTTAAGAATCCGCCTGCCAGTGCAGGAGACACGGGTTCGAGCCCTGGTCCGGGAAGATCCCACATGCGGCAGAGCAGCTAAGCCCGTGCGCCGCAACTACTGAGCCTGCGCACCTAGACCCCGTGCTCCACAACAAGAGGAGCCACCACAATGAGAAGCCCGTGCACCACAGCGAAGAGTAGCCCCTGCTTGTCGCAACTAGAGAAAGCCCGCGAGCAGCAATGAAGACCCAGCACGGCCAAAAATAAATAAAATAAATTTATTTTTTAAAAAAAGTAGCAGCCAAGAAAAACATCACCCTACACATTGTTTCGCTGCTTTATCTTAGTATAGGAAATGCAGGCTTGCGTAGAATCTCGGAATCGTAGAGCACCAGTGCTGGGCCCGGGGTGGGAGGCCCCCAGAAACTACCTCGTCCAGCCCTGCCCCCGACTCCCCACAGAAGAGAAAACGCAACCCAGAGAGTGAAGGACGCTCGTCCACAGATGCACAGCCGGCCGTGGCTGAACTGGGGCCAGGACAGTTGTTCTGCTGCTGTGGGCTGACACAAGGCTTTGGACCTACTGGCCTCACCCGCTTGGTCTTCCCAGCCCTGGCCTCCTTTTCCAAAGAGGGTTCATATTTGGTTCTTCTCAGAGATGTTGTGGGCTGATTATCCTTGATGTTCCTCAGGGCCCTGAGGGAAAGCCTGGACTTGATGGAGCCTCCGGCCTTCCTGGAATGAAAGGGGAGAAGGTACGGAGAAGAGGGGGCGGGTTCCGACACGGGGAATCACCAGGCCCAGCCTGCCTCTCTGACCTCTCAGCCTGACCTTGCCTCTGATCCCATCCTGGTCCGCACTGCTGGATGTCTCCCCATCCCGGAGCTCTTTATGCCCAAACCTGCACTCAGCATCTTCCCCTGCCCACTCCTGCATGTCCCCAGCTTCCGTGAATGGCAGTGCCATCCACCCAGCCCCCTGGACTCGAAAGCAGGGTCTTCTCTAACTCCCCCCTCCTCTCCCCTTCCTACCGTGAACCATCTGTTGCCAAGACTGGCCAATCTGATGTCCACCTCTCTTTCCACCCTGACATGACATGACGTTCATCTCTCCTCGCCTGCAGTGTGGCATCAGGCTCCTCGCTGGTGCCCCCTTCTCCCCACCCACAATCCAGCCTCCAGCTACCTGCCCAGTCCATCTTCCTGGAGCAGGCTCTCACCACGCACTGCCCTCTCCACTGAGAAAGCGCCAGCGGCCCCCCGTTGCCTGCAGGACAGAGCCCTCACTACGTGCAGACCTTCAAGGCCCTTCCCGGCCTACCTTTCCAGCTCCACCTCCCGTCGCTCCCTTACACACCTGGCCTCCGGGCCGGCCAGCCAGCACTGCTGAAAGGCTCTGGGCTTGCACAGCCTCCTGGCCCTGGCCTGTGGTTTCCTCTCTGGCCTGTCCTTTCCCTTTTCTCATTCTCAGAAGCCCAGTTCAGATATACCCTCTGGGAAGCTCTCCTGGACTCTGTGAGCAGAAAGTACCCCTCCTTCCTCTGCTTCCCGTTAGCACAGTACTGATTCCGCGGGACCCCCTCCAGCCAGGGTCACTGAAGCTGTTGGCTTACCAGACTGCTCCCAAGCCCAGCCTTACAAGCAGGGTGTGAGCACTGTCTGTGTATCCTTAGAACCTATAGCCCAGGCTTCTGTGAGCAGAGTATGATGCATGAATGAAACTTCTTCAGGCGCCCTTTTCGCCCTCCGTTCCTGAGTCTCACACGCCCTCAGTCTCTCCCTGCTCTGTAAGCCCCTGTAGTCCTCGGTTAAGCCACGTGGTGCTGTGGGGTGGGGTTCCTGCCCCTGCTGCGTTCCCATGTTCCGCAAATGCGGGCAATAAAGATAAGGTGAGCTTCCTTCGAGAGATATAGCCATGAGCTTCACTGGGGTTCAGAGGAGGGAGGGGCCTCCCCTCTGGGTTGGGGACTGGAGGCCTTCTGTGTACCCAACCTGGACGGAGTTTTGGAAAGTGCTGAGTCCCTAGACACCATCCTTGTCACTGAATTTCTAGTTTCCGTCAGCTCTCAGGAGTATTTTTATTGAAACAGTAACTCGATTTTCGTGAAAAGCTCATTTCTCAGAAAAAGAAGAAACAATTGTCAAGCTTTATAGAACTCATTTTACACGTACTGACTGTTTCATAAGAAATTAAATTTTGCAGGAAACATCACAAGACTTACTCTCATCTTCCTTGTTCTTCTTACCAGCTTCCCTGCCCCCGCCAC